GGTGTAAGACAAGGGACCCAGTCTCTCCTTTGATTTTTGTCCTGGCTGATGATATTTTACAATCTATTTTCAATGAGGCCATGAAACACAGATTGATTTCCTCTCCTTTGGATAACACCAAAGATTTTCTTGGCATCCAATATGTTGATGATACTCTTGTTATTCTGCAAGCTTGTCCAACACAGTTGCAACAAGTCCAAAACCTGTTATTGCACTTCTCTGCTTTCACTGGCCTAAGGATCAATTTATCAAAGTCTGTTATGTATCCAATCAATGTGGGACAAGATAAGATGACTCATTGGATGCTATTCTGGGTTGCACTATTGGCTCTTTTCCTTTTCCTTATTTGGGCCTACCCCTAGGCACTAAAAAGCCAAAAGTGGATGATTTCTTCCCCATGATGCAAAGAATTGAAAGAAGGCTCACTGGTTGCTCTACTTTGCTTTCAACAGGAGAAAAACTTTCTCTTATCAAGAGTGTTTTCACCGGCCTGCCAACTTTCTTCATGTGCTCATTGGAACTGCCTGCCTTGTTTCCCTGTTTCCCTCAAACTGCAATTCCCACATTTGTTTTCCTTTGCTAAGGATGATTTGTTATCCATCAAAGAAGCCTCAGACTCCAACACCTTCCAAGAACTTTTTCACCTGCCTCTGCCCAATCTAGCTTTTGCACGGTTTCATCAAGCAAGAGCTTGTTTAGAGCAAACCAATCTCAAAGGAAGTGATGATCAGTGGAAATACATTTGGAACTCGGCTACCTTTTCTCCTTCAAAAGCCTATAATTTTCTCATCAAAGGGGAGGAGGCTCATCCAGTTTTTAGGAAGATCTGGTATGCTGCTGTTATGTTGAGATATAAAATCTTCTTTTGGTTGTTGCTGCATGATCGAGTAAACACAAGAGGACTGCTACATAGAAAATCTTTCCATCTCCCTTCTTATAAGTGTGAGCTCTGTACTGATCAAGTAGAAGAAACTGCAATGCACCTACTTTGTGACTGTCCCTTTGCACTGAGGTGCTGGGACATGATTATTCCACTCAAACAAAGAGACACAAGTGTGCTTTATGAGACTTTGTTAGCTCTGAATCAACTTCCAAAGGAGGTCGGCCTGAACTTTATCATCATGGCATGCTGGAAAATTTGGATGCAAAGGAATGGCAAGATCTTCAGACATATTACTCCCAATGTCATGACATGGAAAGTGCTTCTCAAGAAAGATTTAGTTCTTCTTCAGCACAAGATCAAGTTGAAACATAAGCAATCATTTTCAGACTGGATTGAAGCGCATTTCTAAGCTCTCTGTTTATACCCATGATGTTCCCCAAGATAGGCATTGGTTAATTTAATTGCTGTTTTTTTCCTTTGATGTACATATTACTTTATTTTTAATAATATATAATACCGTAGAACGATTGTTCTACGGTCTCTCCCTAAAAAAAACTATACATAATCAAATATAATAAGTCATATGTATTTTTAATTTTGATTATGATGTTATCACCTCAAATTTTCGTTAATCAACTTCCGGAATAACTTGTGGGGTGTTATTTAGTTATTACCAAAAACTAAGTTGATTTCCTCCTTTAAACCTAATTCAAAAGCCAAACCTAATTCACACCAGCACTTTGAGCCTCCAGAACCTTGTTAAGATAATGTGGAGCAAAATCAAATAAAAATCCATGAACTTTGTTAAGATAATGTGAAACAAATTTATTGAAGCTCCATACGCCACACATGCTCCATCGATGGATCATACTTGTATGTTACTATGGATCTCGACATCACTCCATAGAGACGATTTAGTCAGTGGCACGCCAACAATCTCCCCTCTTAGACCATCCTAATTGATCGGCAGGACTTGCCTGGAATCACCATCGATTGGGGATGTCAATCGGGTCCCGTTTAATCCCGTTTAAACCCACTATATAATCTAATAGTTTAAAATTTTGTTTTCTTTTTCAGAAAAATGAACTATGGAGCTAGATAAAGCTAACTAAACGGGATTTGCGAACACCATTTATTTGCCATTTACATCCCTACCATCGATCGAGAACACACTACGTGAAAAAACCCTATGCTGCATGCGTTTTTTGTCTTCATATATGGTCTTCATGTAACCATGATACATCGTTTCTCACATATGTATCTATGGTAGTTAACTTTTGCTTTACCCACACCTATGTGCTTCATCCATTGCACCTATGTGCCGTTCAATGTTGTTCAATGTTCCACACCCCCATGCGCTCTCTTTCTCTGCCATATTGGCGAGAAGGAGCTAGCTTGCTAAGCTGTACAACTCGTCCATGATCAGCCCCTTCAACACGATTCATCGTCTTTTAGGTGTTTATGTCGCAAAAAGATCGTAAAACGTTGGCCATATTGAATAAATTTGTTTCAATGTTATGTGCTTCTTGTATGCCTCTTTCTTTAGCGAAGAAACTGTTCTGTAGATGTAATATGTGTCTGTTGCACTGATAAATTGTTTCAAGCAAAAAAAATTACAATAGGTTCGATTTTTTAGATGTCTACAAAAGTGTTTTCATCGTGCGAACTGCAAACATGAGCCGTATGTCTCTGTTATACATGGGAAAAGTAACATTGGCCCTTCCATCCATCATCAAGATGGTCTCCATCACACAAAAAGTGTTTCTACGGGTGAAAAAAATATATCTTTAAAAGTAAAACATAATTAGTTTTACAGATTTAGTTGTTGGAAACCACCATAGTTTACGAAAATCATTTAAAAAATGCAGGGCTTGTTTTCTAAGAGAAGATCATACACACATGATTCTAGGAAGCAACAACTAGGAAACAAATTAAAATTAACAAGACTTCCTCTTGTTTCCTCCCCTAACCCTAGGTGGCTAGGGCAAACTCTTCTCCTTAGGCTTCGCCACGTGAACCCATGGATTTGCCTTCCCTCTGCCTGCCGCTCCGGTGGCGGGTGGCGAGGAGCGGAATCCAGGTATCTCCGCTCCGGTTAGTAGTTAGTTTAGGCTAAGGGTTTTTAGTCCTCGCATGCGCAGCGCTCGGGCGGACGGCACACTTCTTCTCTTAGGTTTATCTGTCAGGATTCAATCATCCTTGACTTCGTCCGTCTGGACATTTCTCGTCATGTGATGAGATTTGGTGTCAGGTGCTTCATATCTATGCAATGGTTCAACGGCGACAACTGAGGCTGCAGGGTGCTGATCCTTAGGGACACATACATGAAGACTTTTCGGTTGTTATCGGCAAGGTGAAGCCGGCTTCAGTAGAGGAGTGGCGACAACGGCTTGTTCTGACGGCAGTAGTGCTCGTTCGGTGGTCTCAGAATATGGATAATTTTTTATTATGTTTGAGATGCTTTAAACTTCCAGTGAACTTTTATGATAGATCTGATCATTTTCTCAAAAAACTGAACATTAATGAGACTAACTTCTCCTTCAAAAACAGAGTTGTCTTATTAGCACTTTTTGCTACAGACACTGCAACTCAAAAAAAAATGCTACAGACACGCGCATCCTACAGGTGATTTCTTCAATGCTTTGGGCCGATCCCCTTCACTTTTTTTTCAGAACGAAGGCTCGCGAAGAGTCCGGGTTTGAATTAACAAAGCCATCAACCGGCCAGGAGTTACAACAGACAACCTAACTTACAACGGTCAGAATGATACAACGGGGAACACTGAAAAGCCTACTCACTACAACCTCCACAAGCCGCACAACAGCTAGTCAAGGCCAAGCACTCCACACTAGGATCATATGCAGAAACGGAGCAGCACATCAGGACATAGCCGACCTTCGAGGATGGACCGTGCTCCAGGAGCACCTAGAGAAGAAAGGAACCAACATCTTCCCTCTCAATCACCGAAGAGGGACCCTTCCCCCTCGCCATGGCTCGTAGGCGCCGCACCGTCGGGATTTCGAGAAGCTCACCCTAGAGCTGGAAGAATGTCTCCCTTGCCTCGCAAGGTGGACATGGGATGACCACATCGATTTGGGATATACCTCGCCGGCTGCTCCGCCACAGTTCATGTCCAACTAGTTGGAGATGAGCTTCAAGGAATCGGACGCCGCAAAAGAGGTAGCTCAATCCCTCTCCTGCAGAACCTCCCGACCGAGCCCCGCACCCTTGACGATGCCTCCAGCAAGGTCACGACGCGCAAGGCGCCGCTGCCGCCAAATCCGCCGAGGATAAGGTTTTCACCCGGGCAGGGGGGTCGGGATGGAAAGCAGGGGACCTCGGCTGCGCCCCCATGGAGGAAAGCAGCGCCCTTGGGCGTTGCCGCCGCCGGGCCGGCCGGACCGGCCAAGGTTTCCCCTGGTTCCCTAGCTGGCCACCAACACGCACCAACGCCGGAGCCAGAAAGCTAGCCCACACCGGAGGCGAGAGAGAGGCATCAGGGAATAGGGATTTCGCACCTCCAGATCTGACGAAGCAAATCACGCTGCGGCCGGATTCCACCAGCCACCCGCCGCCCGCGCTGCCGGGCGCGCTGGCCAGCACCCCCTACGAACGCCGCCCACCGCCCGACGACGTCTCCTCTCCGGCAAGGGCCGCCTCCCCAGGAACCACGGGCCTCCAAGAGGGGGAGGAGCGCCGAGATCCCCGCCGCCACCTTCACCGGCGTCTGCGCGAGCTTCCCGGCGGCCGTCTCTGGTAGCGGCGAGGGGGAGGAAGGGGGTGGAGGGAGGTGGCGGCGGCGGCGGCGGAATCCTAGTCGCCCCCGAGTCGCCCAAGG